GGGGAGGGTCAGAGAGAGAGGGAGTCACAGACTGAAACAGGCTCCAGGCTCTGAGCTGGCAGTCAGCACAGAGCCCGATGCGGGGCTGGAACCCACAAACCGCGAGATCATGACCTAAGTGAAAGTTGGACGCTTAACTGACTAAGCCACCCAGGCGCCCCTAATTCTTCTATATCCTTTTTGATTTTCTGTCTAGTTGAAGCCTGAGGGTAGGACTTAAAATTTTTTTTAACGTTTTATTTATTTCTGAGGGGGGTGGAGGGAGGGTCAGAGAGAGAGGGAGACACAGAATCCGAAACAGGCTCCAGGCTCTGAGCTAGCTGTCAGCACAGAGCCCAACACAGGGCTCAAACGCCTGAACCGGGAGATCAAGACCTGAGCTGAAGTACTGAGCCCCCCAGGCGCCCCCTGAGGGTAGGACTTTAAATAGAGAAATCAGGCACAGAAGGGGAAGTGACTCAGGCAGTGGGTGATGGGGTAGAATATATACACCCAACTGGCGTTGATTAAGAAAGACACCCTGGATGGGGCGCCCAGCTGGCTCAGTTGGAAGAGCATGTGACTCTTGATCTTGGGGTCATGAGTACGACCCCCACATTGGGTGTAGAGAAGACACCTGGAACTCTCCCCTCCCCCACCCCGGCCTTAACAAGATGCTATTGAGCTCCTTCCTTTTGTTCTACCAATGGAAGGGAAGCAGTTCCGACTGGAGAACAGAGGCCCTCTTCCTGTCTGGAATCCATCCCCTCATCTCTGCCTGGGTTCCCAGGGACACGGCTAAACTTGAGGTCAGAATTCTTCCACCAACAACCCTTAACTCTCACCCAAGGCTTCTCTGTCCCTTTTCTGACCCCTCCCCGCCTAGGAGGCGGAATCTGAAGCCAAGTCTGTCCCAGCCACACCTCCCCAGTTATTAAGGAGGGGACCTGACGCTGGAGGCTGGACTGGCCCTTGGAGACTGTGCCCACTGTCAAGAGCAGGCCAGATGTGTCCCCCGCTGGACTATGCTATCCCCGCAGGCCGTGCAATTCAGGCTGTGGGCGGAGCCTGCCGTGGGGATTCAGCTCCTAGAGACAAATGGGTATGGGGCCCTGGGAAGGTCCAAGGAAGCCTAGGGACCCCTCCCCTGTCTGTTGCTTGGTGCTGCAGATGTGGTGCTAGGGAGAGCCCGCCACACCCGGAGGGGCAGCTGACACCACACCTTGGGTGAGACTCTGCTCCTGGAGCGTGGAGCCTCCTCATCGCAGTCCAGCAGGTGGCGTGGGCTGGTCCCACCCGCAACTTCCGTGGCCTGGCTTGGAGTTACCTTCCAAGCCCTTCCCAGATAACATGCTCTCTGCTTCACCCTGAATCTGTCTCTCTCTTTCTCTCTCTTTTTTTTTCTGTCTTTTGAAGTCTGATTTTCTTTTCTCTTTCTCTCTTGTCTGCTCTCCTTTCTCTCTGCCCGCTTTTGCTTAATCTGTCTCTCCCACCCCTTTCTCTCCTTTTTTTTAAATACAATCTCTGAAACACAATCTCTTCTCAGAGTGGATTCTCTGAGAGACGAGGCATTGGTCCTGAAGAGTAACTCCTTGCATGAGCTTAAATCTGTATGGCTAGTAGTCATTTGAATTCTTCCTGCCCAAAAATGTGTATATTCTTTCTAGATTTTCATTGGAAAAAAATTTTATATATGCCTTAAATAAAAAGAGCTGCCATTGATCTGATTAAAGAGAAAAATTCCTCTTTTTATCCTTTTTTCTCTCCCCCATACCCCCCTCACTCCTGGTCTTCCACATATCAAGTGGAGTTTTATCATCTCTCTTTTTTTTTTAATATTTTTATTTATTTCTAGGAGAGAGACAGCGTGAGCAGGGGAGGGTCAGAGAGAGAGGGAGACACAGATTCTGAAATAGGCTCCAGGCTCTGAGCTGGCAGTCAGCACAGAGCCCGACGCGGGGCTCGAACCCACGAACCGCGAGATCATGACCTAAGCGAAAGTCGGACACTTAACCGACTAAACCACCCAGGCGCCCCGAGTTTTATCATCTCTTGAGGGACATCCTTGTCACCTGCCATAGAGCTGATGGACTGATGACAGTATATGGATGTTGTCACTTCACAAGCTCAGGAGCAGCATCAGGAATAGTCTCTGGCAGCTAAACCACGTTGGCAACCTCTTTTATTTTATTTTATTTTTTTAAAGATTTTTTATTTATTTNTTATTACATATATAAGGTATAGATATATATTACCAGTAGCTATTCTGGTATGAGATGCTCTTGGTTTTATTTATGTTTTCTAATTTTTTTTTACAAATAACAGCTATTATTTTTTTTAATAAAAGAAAGTAATAGGGGTGCCTGGCTGGTTCAGTAGGAGGAATATGGAACACCTGACCTTGGGGTCATGAGTTCAAGTCTCATATTGGGTGTAGAGATTACTAACAAACTTTATTTTAAAAGTTATAAGGAAGTTTTTGTTTGTGTTCAGAAAACAAGCTTTGGGGCGCCTGGGTGGCTTAGTCGGTTAAGCGCCCGACTTTCGCTTGGGTCATGATCTCGCGGTTCGTGGGTTCAAGCCCCGCGTTGGGCTCTGTGCTGACTGCCAGCTCAGAGCCTGGAGCCTGTTTCAGAGTCTGTGACTCTCTCTCTGACCCTCCCCTGCTCACGCTGTCTCTCTCTCTCTCCTAGAAATAAAAAACATTAAAAAAAAAAAAGAGAGAGAGAGAGAGAAAGACATTTACACAGTTGAAAAAAAAACCCTATAAAAATGTATAAAATGAAAAATCTCCCCCCCACCGTCTCCCTCCCTTCCATTCTCACTGTCACCCTGTCCCCTCAGCTGAAACCATTGTGATTTTCTTTTAAATTTTTTTTTTAAGTTTATTTATTTATTTTGAGAGAGAGGGAGCATGTGCGCAGGGGAGAGACAGAGAGACAGGGAAGGAGAGAATCCCAAGCAGGCTCCTCCGCACTGTCAGCGCAGAGCCGGGTGTGGGGCTCCATCTCATGAACTGTGAGATCATGACCTGAGCAGGAATCAACAGTGGGACGCTTGGGGCACCTGGGTGGCTCAGTTGGCTAAGCCTCTGGCTCTTGGTTTCTGCCCAGGTCATGATCTGACAGTTCGTGAGTCCCAGCCCCACGTCTGGTTCTGCGCTGTCAGTGCAGAACCTGTTTGGGATTCTGTCTCCCTCTCTCTCTGCCCCTCCCCCTGTTTGCTATCTCTCTCTCTCTCTCTCTCAAAAATAAATATATAAAAAATATAAAATAAAATCTTTAAAAAACAGATTACATGAGGCAGCATTAGTGAAAACTGTAAACTATTAAGGACTAGACGGTATGAATCGTTAAGGCTGCAACTGTAAATAGAAATTTGATCTTATATGGCCTTTGAGGGCATAATGCAGAGTTTAGGCTTTGTTCTGAAGGCCTTAGAAAAGGGACCGCTGAAGACTTTGGGATAAAGAAACACGTTCTAGGACTGAGAAGAGAAGGAACAAGGGGTAGAGTGACAGGTGCTTCATTAAGTGCCATAAGGGACTATTAAAATCTTCTCTCTCAATTAACGATGAAAGGCAATCCCGTGTCACATAAACATTTTTCATAAATTGTTACAAATATTTTTATGTAAAAACTATTTTTATTATATGGGGCCCTTTGGTGGCTCAGTCCATTGACTGTTGGACTCTTGATTTTTGGCTCAGGTCATGATCCCAAGGTCGAGGGATCAAGCCCCATGTCGGGCTCTGCACTCTGCCTGCTTAAGATTCTTTCTCTCCCTCTCCCTCTGCCCCTCCCCCCCGCTCACGTTCTTTCTCTCTCTCTCTCTAAAATAAAGAAATGAGAAACATATGTTATTATAAAAGTGGTTCGCAGTTTTCCTTTCGAAGGCAGTTTCAGTTGGGTGATCTATGACTGTATCAGGGTTGGCCTGGAATATATTGATTTATTCGCTCTCTGTTTATTCATTCATCCACCCAATATTTATCCAGAGCGTCAGGACCTGTGGCCCTGAAGTCAGGTTCTCAAGCTATGCTATGATGGCTCGGGGAAGAGGCTGGTTTCCACAACCTCTCACTTGTACCTGGTATCTCTCTGGAAATACATGACAGAGAAAGCAAAACCAGAGGCTGAGAGAAGTTGTCATCTTCCTTGAATATCAAGATCAATGAAGGTCCCAGCTTTCTCAGACTTCTAGCTGCCTGCAGTTGAAAGGAATCAAGAGGCACCTGGGTGGCTCATTCTGTCAAGCGTCTGACTTTGGCTCAGGTCATGGTCTCATGGTTTGTGGGTTTCAGCCCCCCATTGGGCTCCACGCCGACAGTGTGGAGCCTGCTTGGGATTCCCTCTCTCTCTCTCTCTCTGTATCTCTCTCCCTCTTCCCCTCCCCTACTTGAACTTTCTGTCTCTCAAAATGAATGAGTGGGGGACCTGGATGGCTTGGTCGGTTGGGTGTCCGACTTCGGCCAAGGTCATGATCTCAGAGTTCATGGGTTTGAGCCCCGCGTTGAGCTCTGTGCTGACAGCTCAGAGCCTGGAGCCTGCTTCAGATTCGGTGTCTTCTTCTCTCTCTGCCCCTCTGCTGCTTGTGCTCTGCCTCTCAAAAATAAATAAATGATGGGGCACCTGGGTGGCTCAGTTGGTTAAGCGTCTGACTTCGGCTCAGGTTATGTTCTCACGGTCCGTGAGTTCAAGTCTCGCATTGGGTTCTGTGCTGACAGCTCAGAGCCTGGAGCCTGCTTCAGATTCTGTGTCTCCTCTCTCTCTGCCCCTCCCCCACTCATGCTCTGTCTCTGTCTCTCAAAAATGAATAAACGTTGAAAAATAAATAAAAGTTTTAAAAATTTTAATAAATAAATAAGCTTAAAAAAAGAAGAGAGAAAGAGAGAGAGAGAGAGAGAAAGAAAGAAAGAAAGAAAGAAAGAAAGAAAGAAAGAAAGAAAGAAAGAAAGAGAAAAAGGAAGGAAGGAAGGAAGGAAGGAAGGAAGGAAGGAAGGAAGGAAGGAGTCAGCCCTGGTAGTGCTAAGCACCACAGAAGAGTTAGGTCGAGAGGGCGAAGCCATGACATCAACAGTGTGGATCCTAAGGTTAGCCACGAGAAACGGGGGCAGGAAATTCTCTTGCAGGTAATTGGGACTTGATGGCATATCACTACCTGGTTCTGTTCTCCCTTTGAAGGTTCCAGACTCGGGGCACGGGGAATGCCTCCTTCCCACGTGCCTTTCTCCCCAGATTCTCCTCCTCTTTGCAGCTTCCCGCTCCTACAGAGTAGAGGGTATGGGTTGAGGTGTGGTTTGAGATTCAGAGCAAACCCCATCAGCCTCTTTACTGAGGCGAGGTGGCAGAGCAGGCCCACTTAACCCAGCCACTAGAAAACCCCTTGGCAACTTGGAGGCAGACCTCTCAGCTCAGAGAGTCAGACTCTCGCCAAAAAGCTGTGCCAAAAACGAATCCGGGGCATGGAAACATTCAGAGTACAAATAGTACATGAGATGTGAGATGCCTCCAAGGAAACCTTCTTGGGGACAAATAAAATGTTTTTATTGAGAAAGGGCTTCCATCGATCATCCAGCTCATCTCTGGAAGGAAACAACAGCCAGTCTCCAGTTACTCACACTGGGTGGGAGGAGGTGCTCCCCGGAGGAAACCCTGGTGACTTTGCACGTGAACGTGAACGGGGAATCCTTTGTTTCAGAGCTACAGCTCACTGTCCTGGAAAGCAGCATGAGGAAGTCTGTTGATTCTCAGGTTCAAACCCAGCCAGTGGGTCTGCCCATAAAGCAAGTTACCCCTGCCCCATTTGGGGCCATGCTGGAAAGGAGGCAATGCTGGTTTTCACCCCCCACACCCCACGGGGGCCCCAAACACCAAGTTTTCAGATCTCCCAGCCCTCAGACCACATCCACGTGAAAAATTCAGTGAAGCACCAGTTGGGCATCATTTTCCTACAGGCCACTGATGTTAAAACAACTGGAAATTTAGATGAGTTCATTTTGTCTATCCAACTATTTGAATAAAAGGGTAGGGGCGCCTGGGTGGCTCAGTTGGTTAAGCATCCAACTTTGGCTCAGGTCATGATCTCACGGTTCATGGGTTTCAGCCCCGTGTTGGGCTCTGTGCTGACAGCTCAGAGCCTGGAGCCTGTTTCAGATTCTGTGTCTCCCTCTCTCTCTGACCCTCCCCCACTCATGCTCTGTCTCTCTTTCTCAAAATAAATAAACATTAAAAAAAATGAATAAAGGGGAGAGGAGATTGAAGAAAATACTCTTGAGTCCTCAGCCAGAGTGTTGGGCACATAGCCTGTAACCCCAAATTCCTATAGAGAGACAAAGCTAACTAGGGCAGTTTTTTATAAGTGATGGAAACCATGAAAGTACATTAAATCAGCCACAGGGATTGTGAAACATCTGACAATTCCATGGCAACTACAGAAGATTCATGTTATTTGTTAAAATAGAAACCCAGACTCAGAAAAGTATGACTATTTTCCTATGATGCAGCTGAAAGTGACCCTTCAGCCTTACCTCTTGGGGAGCTCCCTACCACCATCATGTCTAAGTACTTGGGTTCCCCAGTTCCAAAGCCAAGCATTTCAGGCTGAACTGTTAAGTAGCTGCACTTGGTTCAGTCATGTGGCTTATTCTTGTCCTGACCATTTGGACTACTTCCTTCCATCTCCCTGCATGACACAGAAAGTTCACTGATAATTTGGGGCAGCTGGGCAGCTCTGTCAATTAAGCATCGAACTTCTGCTCAGGTCATGATCTTGAGTTCAAGTCCCATGTCAGGTCAATTCAGCTAAAATAGGAGGAGAGAAACTCTGTGGGAGGCATAAAAACGGGCTCAACCCTGAAAGATCTTCATGAAATTTCTCCTTCTCCTTTCATCCAAACTTCTCTGATCCACTCTCAAAGCTGCACAGGAGAGACAAACGCCAATGCGTAGAGAGGGGCTCCTCTGGCCTCCAAAAACAATAGCAACGAGGTGCTGCCTCCAGGGTGTTAATTTACCCTGTCTGTAAAATGGGGAGATTCTCGCCCTCTCCCTCTACCTCACACAGGATAAAAAAGATTAGACTGTAGGGGGCGCCTGGCTGGCTCAGTCCATAGAGCAAGTGACTCTTGATCTTAGGGTTGTAGGGTTGTGAGTTCAATCCCCATGCTGGGCGTGGAGCCGACTTAAAATAAATAAGATAATTCTTTTTTTTTTTTTAAAGACGAGATTGTACACAGGTGCTTGGAAAATTGAAAGCACCGTATGAACATAACACGGGTTTCTCCTGTGCCACGGCTGGGACTTGAATCCAACCCATCAACGGGAAGTTCACTGCTCAATCCACTCCACCCACCACAGCAGCTGTGCATGGAGGTAAGCTCTGTCTTGGACCGGGCTGAGGCCAGGACATGGGAGCCCAAGGTGGCCAGTGAGAGCCTGTGAGCTGTGTCAGCCTGCTGAGTGGGGGACATGGGACCTGAGAAATACAGGCAGCTCCTAAGGCTCCCTTAGCTCAGGGCATAGCTCCAGAAATAGAACCGGGCTTCATACCTCTTGAATATTAAAATGCTCGTAATGCTTCCTCCACATCCCAGATTATGATGTGAAGCTGGAAATTAGCATTCTGTTCCAACACCCTGTGGCACCTCTGCTTTGGGGGTTGAAATGACGGTTTTTAATAAGCTGGCTCCAGGCACCTGTCACCAGTAAAGGAAGCTCTGCGCAGGAAGATAGATCACTTCTTGTTAAAAGGCCACAGGGCAATAAATTTCCCCAGTCATAGCTCAGCTTCCAAATCAGGACCCTGGAGAATTGCTTTCCATCTTTTAGCACTAAGCCCAGAGCCGCTGGGCCCCCCTGATCCTGACCATTGACCTCAGCCACAGTTCTTCCATACCCTTGCATTTGGGGATTCAGTGAGATCCACACAGATATAACTTGAAAAGGCCACTGTGCCTCAGGACTGGGCCAGTGGAGGGAGACCACGGAAGAGCCACAGCCTGAGTGTTAATGCTCTACAATCAGCACTGCCACATTTCTGCTATCCCAAGGATCAGGGTCATTAAGACTTCAGAAGAGGCTCACTATCGAAATTCAAGCAAATGTCATCAGATCCATCATTGCTGGAATTTTCTTCCTCTTAAAGCTGAGCACTTGCACTAGATGTGGGTAATTGGGACTGGTTAGAAATAATTTGATTTCGGGATGCCTGGGTGGCTCAGTCGGTTAAACGGCCAACTTCAGCTCAGGTCATGGTCTCGCGGTTCTAGAGTTCGAGCCCTGCGTTGGGCTCTGTGCTGACAGCTCAGAGCCCGGAGCCTGCTTTGGATTCTGTGTCTCCTTCTCTCTCTCTGCCCCTCCCTCACTCATGCTCTGTCTCTGTCTCTCAAAAATAAATAAACATTAAAAAAATAAAAAATAAAAGAATAAACTATCGGTATACACAACAAATAGACAAATCATGCAGACATTTTGTTGACTGGCATAAACCACATCAAAAAGAGCATATATGGTATGATACTATTTATATAAAGGTCAAGAGCAGCCAAAATTAATTCATAGCAATAGAAATAGAATAGCAACTATCTCTGGAATATTATACTGGAAAGGAACCTACATGGATACAGGAAATATTCATATCAATCTTGTTCTGAATCATGGTTACATGAGTAAATATTCCTTGAGCCATCCACTTAAAATTAATGCACTCTACTGAATTATAGCTCAAAAGGGAAGGTGGAAACTTTTTAATAAAACACCCAGAGGATATTTTTCTGACATGGAAAAATGTCTTCGATTTCTTCATCAGAGTCACCCAACTTCATCTTGAACCTAAATGAAAGAGAGTGAAATGACAATTACAAAATAAAAAATCACAGGGGCGCCTGGCTGGCTCGGTCGGGGGAGCATGTGAACTCTTGATCTTGGGGTTGTTGATGAGTTCAAGCCCCATGTTGGGCGTGGAGCCTACTTAAAACAATGACATGAAATGAAATTAATAAAAATACATTTTTAAATGAATGAATACAAAATAAAAATAAATTAAAAAGCACAGCTGAATACTGGGCACTGGCTGTAATGGTCTCCCATCGGAAGCACAATAGGAAATAACTGGTGCCAAATAGATGGAAGAGATTTTTCTCTCTCCACCAGCATCCCAGGGATTAAGCATACATTCTGGCCACCACACAGCACAGCCCAACCTAGTGCCAATAAAACTCCACTCAGACATCAGACACCACTCCAATCTCTCATGGGCCCTCCTCGTCATCCGGGAGGGCGGTTGTCCCTACAGCCTCCAGGTCCTGCCTGCTATCTTTTTAAGTGAAAACGTAGATTATTAAATAGATCCAAAATGAATCGTTTCCCCGGAAAATTTTTTTTTTTTATTTTTACACTATATAGAAAGCACCCCACTACTTTTTCACAGGACAATGAAGGCGGAGTCATCTATTTATATGTTAATTTTACCTCTCTTTGTAAACCTCTTCCACCCTATTTTGACTCCTCTTCAACTCACTAGGGAAATTCAAAGCCACATGAGTGCGGCTAGAATAGAAAAGCCATCTTTATTTAACAAGGGTTAGCGCAGGGGTGGGGGAGAAGGGCCAGGTTCTTCCCCCACCACCACCCCCACTCCCGTTCATCACAAGCTGTCAAATATTTACTTTTGGTCTCTGTGAACCTAGCAAAGGGGTGAACCATCCACTCTGGGTGGGTCCCCACCCCTTCCTCACTTCCTCCAGCCATCTATTTCCTGCATTGTTCTTTTCCTAAGTAAACAGACATAAGCTTGCAGTTTAAAATGTTAAGAGTTCACAAATTCGACATGCTCAGCTTAATTAATTTTTCACGTGCATACACACCCCTGTAACCACCACCCTGATCAAAACGCAGACTATTTCAAGCATTCGAGAAGGCTCCCTTAATGTTCCCTCCCAGTCAATACTGGGAAGGAGGAATTTTTTTTTTTTTTTACCTAAAAAATACGAAGCATTCTATTCCTTGAATTTTGGAGTTTCAACTCACATCTCCCTATCAAACGTACTTAAGGGCATAACAGTGTTCTCTTTCTCACTTACAAATTATTTTTAAAAGTAAAATGGAAATGATCTAAATGACCCATTATTGCAGAAATACTTTTCCATTTGATGACACACCTCAAGGACCAGATACTGTGCAATCGTTAAAATCATGCTTTTGGAGAATATTTAGTGGCACTGAGAATAATGTTAAATTTAAATGACGCTGAGAATAGACTCATTAATATTAAATCAAAAGGGAAGGTACCCCAGTGTTCCCACAGAAGTTCAGTTTTGACATACACATCGGCAAGGAAAAACAACTGGAGAAAATACAGCAGAAGATTAGCTTTGGTAAATTTTGGGTGCTAGGATATGAGATGAGTTTTATTTTCGTCTTTATATTTGTTATCTTTGAAATTCTTGATGATGAATAATTATTTTTTCCTAATTTTTCTAATAAGAAAAAAAAACCTGTTTTCTTTTCAAATGCGGATTAACTGAAATGGCCAACCTTAGGGAAATGATTTTCTAAATTATGACAACATATTTTGTTGCATATCATGCATTTTTAAATGGCATTTTGAAGACCGGAATAACGTGGAAAATGGCCTACGATGTAATCAACGAACAATGTTTTTTAAAACCATGGGACACCTGGCTGGCTCATTCCATACAGCACGTGACTCTTGATATCAGGTCTTGAGTTCAAGCCCCATGTTGGGCATAGAACTTGCTTTTAAAGAAATAAATGAAAAATGAAATAAAATAAGAATAAAACCAGGACAGGATGCATGTAATTAAGTTAAGGATTGGGAGACACAAGTAACTAATAACAGCGGTTGCAAATTGTAAAACATGAACACGGAAATCATAAATGGAAAAAAAAAAAGAAGAGAGTTGTTTATTTAAAAGTTTTTAAAGAATGTGCATTTAAAGCCCCATATATTATTTTCTGTGATCTGGATATGTTTTTTGGCACTTTGAGGATTTTTTTTAAGGGAGGAATGTTGAGGGTAATCATTTCAATGTGTTTTAGTCTGAAGCTTTTGGGGAATTGTAAATGTGGCCTCTTTGAATCAGATTCCACAGAGGTGGTTGGGCCAGAACACTGTAAAATCCTTAATTTTCACAAATGCTGGACTGAACCAACAGAAAACTACCCAAGTACCAAAGACTTACTTAATCCATTTCTGGGAAGCTCACTCCATTAGACCTTTGCACTTAGCTTTTCAATTAAACGTCTTCATTTTGGATCCAGTGATTTCTCCCAGAACAGAGCTGAGTGGAGGGGAGGGCAGGGATGTGAGAAAAAATATTGTAAAGTAAAATTGAAAAGCCTTTCACGCAGCTTCCGCCTCCCGGCCACCCCCCCACACACACACACCCCAACACACACAAAGTCCCAATTGCTTAGGGTTTTCTTGGTCTAGATAACGATGATGGCCCCACATGCCCTAAAAGATGTGGCCCGGGGTCGTTGAACTTGCCCCTGGTGCCATGTCTCTTTCCCCCACCCAAAGTTAGACAATGGGCGAAGGGTTGGCTGGGTTCTTTCCAGGGCCCAGAAAGCCTGGGGATCCAAGGTTGGAGATAAAGAGAAAACCACAAACCCCTTTGATCCACGGAGCAGGTAGAGCCAAATGGAAGGGCTGGGAAGAACTTGGAGAGCATTATCCGTCCAACTCCCTCAGGCCTCTTTTCCGGGTTGCCAGTTGAGGACCAGCGTCCGGGCATTTTATCCGGCCCCAAATAAGGAAGCCCGGAACTTCCCGTTGGCTCGCCGGGATCTGGGGATCTGGTGCCTTCTCGGCGGTGGCGGGGCTCCGGGCTGGAAGGGAAGCCGGCCGCGCACAAGACCCGGAACAGCCGCGGCGCCCAGCGCCCGGTTCCCATCCCCCTGGATCTCATGAAGCCGGGACAAGCCCGCGGGATCGAGTCTTTGATCCTCCCGCGCTCCAGGATCCTAGATTCTTTAAAACGAACCAACAAACAGAAGAAGAAGGGGAGGAGGGGGGAGAGTAAGAACACTAACTCGGTCTCAACAGGCCGCGCTGCGCAGACTCCGCCGCCGGCAGGTCCTGGCAAGACCGCGCCACCTCCGCGGCTCTGGCGGCGCCGCCGGCCTGTGTTTCCTCGGCCACGGACGCGGGAGCGGGGAGGACGCGCCATTTACCAAGTTCAAGTTTCCAGAGCCCGAGGGAACCGAAGGCTTTTGGGGGCCTCCGCCGCCCCCCGCTGGAATGACCCCCCCTCGATGGAGGGGCGCTTTGAAATAGAGGCCACGGTCGTGGAATGACCTACTTGAACGTTCTCTAAGAATTCATCTGCTTTAGCTATTATTCGTTTGCTATTTATTCTTTTAAAGATTTTATTTTTATTTTATTTTTAAAGGTCTTTTTTAATGTTTATTTTTTAGAGAGAGAGAGAGAAACGGGGGAGGGGAAGAGAGGGAGACTAAGGATCCGAAGCGGGCTCAGCGCTGACAGCAGAGAGCTCAGGGCACGGCTGGAACCCATCAAACCGTGAGATCATGACCTGAGCAGAAGTGAGATGCTTAACCGACTGAGCCATCCAAGGACCCTAAGATTTTTTTTTTTAAGTAATCTCTGCACCCAGTGTGGAACTCGAACTCACAACCCCGAGATCGAGAGTTGCAGTCTCTACCGACTGACTCAGCCAGGTGTCCTTCTTTGGCTATTTATGCATTTGGTTTTCCCAGACATTAAAAAAAATGGAGATTTTGCTGCCTAAAAATGAGGTAAGAAAACATGAATTATGAAAGAGGGAAAGTGAAAAAATTACATTATGTTGATCCTGACTAAAATACTGCTCTAACTTGCCATGCAGCCTCAGTAACCGGGATTTTTAATGCAGACCAGGCGAGTTTCCTGAGGAAAACAGAGGCTCGTTGATAAAGCAATGAAGGCTTGGCTGGGAGAAGGCAGGTCTCTCGCGCGTTCCGGATCCTTCCACAACCCTCCCCAGCCCCCTTTCTCTCCACTGGCTCTGCGACCAGGTCCACCTCCAGGAGGGGTGAAGGAATGTTTCTGACCTGATTCAAGTTCAATGACAAAACCCTGCTTGGACGGGGAGGGGCATTGAACTTCAATCATCAATCAGACAAAGGCCGAGCGCAGGTTTTGGGCAAGGGCCCCGAGCTGGGCCCAAGTATAATGGGGGAGCCGAGGTCCTCAGAAAGAGTCCTGATCTCTTTGTCCCCTGCCTGGGGTGGGCAGTGAGCGGCCTGTAGTGCCGACCCCAATACTGGGTGTGTGTCTGCCTGGTTTGGAGTGGGGCCGTCACAGTCTGAAAGGCAAGAAGCTGTCCGATCCCTGCGCAGGCTAAGTCCACCTTTCAGGACCGGGTGCTGAAGCCCCTGCCTGCTCTACCCAGCCTGAGCCCAGACCAGACCGTTCTCTCTGCACAACCTGCGTTTTCTGGCTCCTTCCCCCAGTTTTGCTCACATCTTCCCTCCTGGATTTGACATTCTAATCACCTTCCCAGGTTCTACTCCAGCAGGACCTTTTCTGGGAAATTCCAGATGCCAGAGGATGAGGGGCGAATCTTTCACACTCCTTGTTCCCCCATTCGTCCCTGTTGCGATCACTTACCCCACCACACCCTGTCAGAGGTCACATCCGAGGAAGTAGCAGACCCAGGATCTGGCTGTCGCAAGAGGCAGGGCCGTGTGAGACGGGAGATGATCTCTCCATTGTCTCTCCTCCAGCCTCCCCTACCCCCGGAAGATTTTGCATTCTGTAGGCACTGGGTAAATGAGGAGTGGATTTAGCCAACTTTCTATGTGTCTTTAATCCTGATTGGTTTTTTTTGGGGGGGGGGTTTATGCAAATCTCCCTGGTGCACCGAGGGGCCAGGTCTAGGGAGTTTAAGTGCACCTGTGTGACATCACGGCCTGGGTCCTGATGGAAACAGGTGTTTGTCAGTGTCTAGTGGGATCTTGTGAAAAGAGGCATGTTGGGGATGGGGAAGAGACTGGCCGGTATACACAGAGAAGCTTAGACATTAAGAGCTGCTGCTACCGCAGGCTGGGTGACACTGACCAAGTAACTGACCTTCCTTGGTCTCAATTTCCTCATTGTAGAAAGTGTACACTCAACTTAGGTTTTGTCACTGCTACGGTAGTAGCTGTGAAGGAAACATGAGCAGGAGTCAGCTTGGGGTGGAGGGAAGAAGGGCAGCCGAGTCCTTGACCCCCTTAAGACCAATGAATTAGCAGTGTGCGTGGCTGAGGACTTGGGTGTGTGCCCCACCTCCCGCGGCTGTCGTTCGGGGCTCTGAGTCCCTGTGCACACGTGCCAGCGGCATCCTCTGTCCCCTCCTCAGATCCTGGCACTCTCCAAGCTTCTGAAAAAGACGCAGGAATGGGGGAAAGAAGGCAGCAGCTCACAGACTAAGGTACACTGATTTATTTCTCTTAAAGGGCCAGAGCCTTTCCCTTCGGGGTGAATTAGTCAATCATCAGTGTTATCATTACAATTCGTTTTCACGGAGTTTCCAAAAATAGGTGTGTTGTAAAGAATTAAGATTTTACATAACAATAACAATAGCATTAACAATAATACTAATTTTGTCTGTGCCAGGACACCACCCAGTGGGAGACAGAGGTCACATCCCCCCCACCCCCACCCCCCACGGCAGCCTCTTACTGCCACCCACCAGCCTCTCCCCCGAGGCGCGCCTGTCCCGTGTGCTGCGAAGCGCTTTCTTTGTCCCTTCCTTCCCAGACAGCTGTGCGTCTGTGTCTCCAGAAACCAATGTGGAAGTGCCCTCGCCAGGCGGTGGGTCTCTGGTCTCAAGTCCCTTCTACCTCCCTTTCCCTGCCCACCTAAACCCCGGAGGCCCACAAATTCCTCCTGAGGCAGGTCCCAGACTGTGAGAGCGGTGAGGCCTTTGGCCCCCGGATCCGCTAGTTTACCTTAATAGGGAGAAACGCACTCTTGAAGGTAGTGAAACGAGTAGGTCCCTGGTCTGAGAAATGGGCGCATAACCCTCTTGTTCTCTCTACAAAGACCAGGCCCGGAATTCAGCGGGCGTCAAGGGCCTGAGTTCGGCAGTTGCCGGCTTGAAGGCTTCAGCCTCCGAGTGGGCGCCTTGGGCTAGAGAAGGAAGGACTGAGCGCAGCACTAGGCGCCCCCCATCCAGGCAGAATCTGGGGCGGGGCTCAGGGAGAGGACGCACCGCCGCAGGCTCCCCACAGCGGGTAAAGGCTGGGGTATCCCCTCTCCAGTGCGGACCGAGGTCTCCTCGCCTCCCCGCCGGTCGCCGGTCGGTCGGCGTCCCCAGCCGGTCTCCGGGTCTCTCCGGCCATCCAACCACCCCCTCACCCCCTCACCCCCTGCCCCGCAGCTTGACCTTCTCTCTCCCTTCCAAGGCCGGAGACTTCCGCTCCCCCTTCCTCTCTCTTCTCTCAAAGTGTTTAGGAGAGTGGGGGCTGGGAAGCGGTGGAGACCACCAACCTGAAACTTCAAGTTCAATGGCAGCCCCTGACCCTTCCCACCCCTCCCTTCCTCTCCCGTCCGGGTGCCGGAGACTCAATTTCCCTCTTAGTTTTTCGAGGGGCGACTGAACTCAAGCTGCCCGCGTCTTCTGTCTCACCTTGGAGGCAATTTAGGGGAGGGGAGTCTGCGGTGGGATTCTTTCCTTCTCCGGCTGCTCGACCACCCCCACCCCATCCCTTTTCCCCACAGAGTAACTTGTAGCGGACAAAGGAGGAAAGGCCTGCATCAGTTTCCCACTGGATGTTTTTAAATCTCTCTCCAGGCACCTGGGGGTGGCGGTGGGGGGAGCGGAGGGGTGTCCCACTCGGGTGAGAGGCCGAGGGCCACTCTGGTGCTTTCTCCCCCCTTTCCTGGAGAGGAACTGGTTTGGGTGGGTGAGAATATGATAGAAATGTCTTCAAAAACAGCGCAAACGCCTCCTTTGGTGCCTCTGCGCTTTACTGTAGGTTTACTATCCAATCCATGATGTAGCTCCGGGGTTTCTATCAGACCGGAGAGTGTCTCCCGAAGGAAACCTAATTAAAGTGCAGCACATAGGACCTCGGATAAAACTTTAATGACGGGGAGGAAGGGGGGCTCTTTGCTTCGCGTTGGAGGAGGGGAGCCGGGCCGCTGGGAGAACTCGGGGGCTCCATCAGAGCCTTTCTCCTGCCACAGGGGCAGTATCCGGCTCTGGAGCGACGCGGAGCAGGGGTAGCTGGGGTGGGGGTGGGGGGCGCTGCGCGGACCCACCGCCCGTCGCTGCCCTGCGGCTTCCCGAGCGCCGGAAGCATTCACTGCGTGAGTAAAGGACCCCAGGCCTGGAGCCCCGGCCTGGCTCTCCGCTGGGCCTTCTCGGCCATTTAGATTCGAAAAGAGCTTCCGGAGGTCGCGTCTACGCACTTCACCACTACCCCCTAATTCGGCCTTTGGAAGCCTGATAAAACAACTGCTTTGGACTTGGAAGTGATTTCGGTCCTGTAGCCAGCGTAGACGCGACCCTCCGATCCGATCCCGTTTGGACGCTTGCTGAGATTCTCAACCCCGGGAGTGTGTCTCGGAGTAAGCGGAGGGCGCGGAGGACGGCTCCGAGAATAACGCCTCACAATAACGCCTCGTTGGTGGAAACACACCCAGTGTACTTTCTCGAGTATATCTGTGCGTTTCTGTATGTATTTTGTTCAGGAAAATGTTGTCTGAATTCACTGATTCGTGAACGTTGTGTTCACATGTTTCAGCCTGAATAATTTTTTAGCGCAGCACGCTCTCTGGTATCTAAAAACGGCCCGACTTAAAAGCAGATCGCTGCAGACAAGTAAATGTAGATTACATGGATTTTGTTGTTATTTAACACAAATTAGTAGAGACTTTTAAAATGCTCGCTCTGGGTGGGAGGGGGCATAATTTGCCTGGGGGTAAAATTGTTGTTTGGAAAGGGGTATCATGAGAGGCTTTAAAGCCAAACGAAATTAAAATTGTGTTTTGTTTTGTACAGGTTCCGTACGTAAATCACTCCGGGGGGGGGGAAGGGAGGGTGTCCCCGCGAACTGCTCTGCAGAGGAAGACAAGTAATAATACTCGATTGGAACGAAGACCCAGACGGAGGGCAGATGGCGTCGCGGCCTTGCCACCCTGTTCTCTATATTTAAGATCGCTGCTGCGGTCCTCTTTGCCTTCCTCCTGGGTCTCTCGCTGGCGCTACCTTGACCCCATTCCAGGCGATTCCGGGTCCCGGCGCCCTCGCAAGCGGCCCTGAACGCCCTTACTCCGGAGGCCGGAGACCCCAGGCATCCGGAAAACAAGCGGCTCCGCCTGGCGATTGAGGCCGAACCGACCAGCGGGTTTCTCTGAAATAGCAAACTTCTGCCGGAAGGGGGCGTCCTTGCCTTTTTAATCGTGCACAAACGCCTCGGTAGAGAAATAAATCTCTAAAATCCTATCTTTTGTTCGTTCGGAAATTATTGCAAACGAATAATAGAAGAGCCCCCGAAACTTCAAGTCCCTGATAGCGATGTGGAAGAGTTAGAGCCCCGGGGGTGCAGAGTCTCGAGGTTTCTGACTCCTTCAGGCCTCCCCCTAGAGCTCCCCAGTCCTCTAGGTGAGCGCAAGCGTCAGCCCCTTTTGTGGCCTTTCCTCTCCTCGTGTGGCGACCCCCCGCACCATGGAGCCGCCCCCCCTTCATTCGTCCCACACCATACCCACATGCACATCTACAAAGTCTTGCCGTTTCTGAAGAGGGAGGGGGTCCGCACACACTATCGTTGAGAACCTGTGAAATTAAAAAGCTACTTGCTTGAGACTGCTTGAAGGAGAATGTGAAAGGCAGGAAGCAACTTCCTCGGAGCCGGGTGCTTTACCAAGGAGCTTAAACTTGACCACGGGGCTTGGAAGGCTTTTGTTTTGTTTTGTTTTTTTAATCACGAAATGGACACCTCCCCCCAAGCAGACACAGTCTAAGGAGACCCAAGTGGGGAGAAGGGGGGCTGGCCACCTTTGGAGCCTTTCCCCTCAACCCTGGGCTCCTCTTTAGTAAAGAGATTTATAAGAATCTGAGCCTCTTCCCAGCTCCTTCCCAGGAGAGGAGCCAGAACTGGGATTTCACCTGAGCTCGGGCTATCAACGCCCCAATCCCTTGGCTACACGGGGGATCCTGGAGAATGATAAGCCTGAGCCTGCTCTGAGCGGCGACTGGGACAGTGACGGTGGCACCCACAGTCTGCTCCTGGTGGCGTCTGGGATCATGGGTAGTGCAGGTCCTCGCCACTGGGAGCCTGGGCTCTGGACCACAAGGAGGGTGCCCGCCGGGATGCCCCGGCCCAGGCTGCAGCCCCGCCGACTTTGCTGGGCAGCCAAGGTGGTGAATCCCGCAGGGCACTGAGCCCCGGCGCACCGCGAGGGAGCAGGCACAGAGAGGGGGACTCCGTGTCAGGGTCCTTGGCTCTGCCGCTCTGGGAACAGCCAGTCTGCCCCAGGTTCGTGGAACTCCACATGACGAGTCTCTGTCTACGTGGATGGAGAAAAGGGAGTTGGCACCAACCTGATCCTCCACCCACCCAGGACTCAGAGTACTTGAGCCAGCACACAGTGGGGGGGGGGGGGAATCTGCAGCCACCAAGGCCCAACATGCCTGATCCTGGGTCTTTGGGCTTCTGCCCCCCCCCCCCGTTCTTTTACCCATGAAAGGGCCTGCCCCTCCTCCCAAGCCCGAGACCCGCAAGCTTCTCCTGGGGTCAAGCGGGTGGTGAAGGGCCATTTTCTGGTTCTCTCTCCAACCTGGCGAGTCCAGCGTGTTGGGGACCGTGTCCGCCCATAGGGTAGGACACTGGTCTCTAGCTCCGTAACCATATGTGCCTGGGAGAGGCACATCTACAAGGCCACCGATACCTATTTCATGTGGCTTCCAAATTCCCAATGGATCATAACCTGGAGAGAACCATCAGGAATGCTAAGGGAAGTCTTGGAAAGATTAGTGGAGGGAATGAGAGGTGGGGAATTTTCCAGGCGCTTTCTGAAACTCAGTTTTTCTCGAGGAAGGACAGACTCAGGAGGGCAGCATGCCGCCTCGTTTGCACACAAGGACAAAATCGAAGCGTTAAGGATGGGACCTCTGAGGCCACGCAGTACAACCTAGGGGTGTGCTGGGAGGGAGGGGGTGGTGCCCGCCAGCGTTGTCCATCCTGCTCAGGTGTCTGAGAAGAATGCTGAAGGAGCAACGGCCCAGGGCTGTGGCTTTTCTCCTCTCTGCTGCAGCCACTGGGTGGGGGATGGGATTTGGAAATGGAAGGGCATCCAGAGGAAGCTTCCCTGCCGGGGTCTCCTTCCAAGTTTATTCACAATCAGCTCAATCCATGCAAGCGGTTTCTAAAGTGCTCCTCAGAGCTCTAGATAGAAAATATGAGGCTAATTATCATGGGAACTCATTCTGGCGCTAGTGATTACTGCCATGGCCAGAATGAATGATTATGACGACGGCATTAGGTCCTCTAGGTGCTGTGTGACTCTGGTGGGTTGGACTGTAACTCTGGGCCTCACTGGCTTCCTAGAACATATGGGAGTACCCAGGCCATCCCTGAGGAACAGCCCAAGAGGGGTGGCCTGTGACGAGTGTAATCGCTGGGAGCCCCTCATTAGAGTCTCCTCAGTACAGTCTCGTACTGTAGCCTAAAACTGGCAGGCTCCCCGCGTCTCCCCAGGATACTCCCCTTAAGCCCCCACCTCCCCAGCCAGGGATCTCCCTCACGGAGTAGTGCTGGTCTTGACCTTGGCGAGGACTTTCTTCTCCTTAACCCGGCGGTTCTGAAACCAGATGGTGATCTGGCGCTCTGAGAGGCTGGTGGCCGCGGAGATCTTGCGCCTCTTGTCCTTGGTAATGAACTTGTTAGCGGAATACTCGCGCTCCAGCTCGCGCAGCTGCCCCTTGCTGTAAGGAATGCGCTTCTTGCGGCCACGTCGGAAGGTGCAGCCTTCTGGAGGGTGCTGCACGCTTGAATCTGCGTGGCGGCGGAAGGAGGGAGGGAGAGAAAGCCACGCTCAGACCTCTGCCCTCAGACCTCTGCCTGCAAGCTCCCCACGCAGACCCAGGCCCTACGAGCTAAGTAATCATCAGGGAGCACCCAGATCGCCCTTCAGACGCACGTGGGCTCCCCCTCTCCCAAAGCACAGCGGGACACCAGGACTTCCGGCTGGTTTCTAACCACCTACGAGGCTTGGAAAGCCCAGGCTCCTGCAGATCACCCTCACCTATCACTGTCTTCACGCCGGCAAGTCCGCAAACACACCCATCACTCACAGCCAGACCTTTGCCCAGGGCCACATACATCCACCCTCACATGCGTTTTCACACTCTTGGCCACTCTCATGGACTCTACGGGCAAATTATATACAGAAGGGAACACATTTCTGTCCCCTCTCCCAACACACACACACGCACACACACACAGCGCACGCACACACATACCCCTAAGTTATGACAGCAGGAAATCTACATTTTCCTGTGGAAGCTGAAAATTCACCGAGAGAAAACGAGGGCTGGTATTTTTTTACAGAACATCCATTATCTCTGTTCCTACCGCCCCCCCCCCCCAACTCACTACATTGAGAGTCATTTAGCCTTTTGGCAGAATTAAACCTGGGATCTTCGAGGTAGGAGCAGCCTGGGCCCCGTCAACAGCAAAAAGAACCCAACACTCTGACATATTGAGAAGCTGGTCCCAAAGGCTCCTAGGGAGATGAAGGGGCCTTGGTGGCCCACAGGCTGCAGAAATCGCCCAGCCCAGGCCCCCGCACAGGGACCCTCTTGGGCTTCCATCCAGGCTTTCCAACAGCCTAAAGCCCTCCTTCAGAGTCCTAATAGCCAACAGAGGACCACAGGCCCCTCCCCGCCAGCCCCAAGATCCCTTCACTTTCTCCCACACAAGTGCCCGTGAGGCCTACGACCCGCACTCAGCACCAAGGGGACCCAAAGCAGTGGGGCAAGTTACCTGCAAATGCTGCCTTCCAGAAGGGCCCTGGCGGGTTCTGTTCTCCCTGGCAACACATCTGGCCGTTCCAGCCCCCGGTGAGGGCCCAGGGCTGGTAACTGTCCACAGGCAGCAGCGAGTCATGGCGAGGCTCCCCGGGGGCGCCCAGAGTCTGCACCACCGACACATCCAGGTAACTGGCCACAGGCTGGTAGGGTGCCGCGTACCCCGGATAGAAGGCAAACTCGGCGGGGCGGCTGGGGTATTCCTCCCCGGCCGCGGCAGTCTCGGCGGGGTAGGCAGCTAGGGGGGCCGCCTGGGCACAGGGTTTCAGCGAGCTCCGGGACACCCGGCAGGAGTAGTACCCGCCTCCAAAGTAGCCGTAAGGCACCGGGGCCGGGGCCGCCCCCTGGGGCACCCCGGGGCAAGGGTGGCACTGCTTTGGCGGTTCCGCAGAGCCCGGCAGGTCCAGGGGGGCATAGCTGGCGGCGGGCACGAGCGCAGGCGCCGCGGCCGGGTGGCTGGCCAGTGGGGAGGGGGCGACTAGGTGCCGACTCCCTCCCGCGCCGGGCAAGCCGTCCAGGTCCTTGGCCCCGTCCACGGTGGCATAACTGCCGGGCTCCATGGGGCCGAGGGTCGGCTCATGGGGTGCCGGGGGTGGGGGAGACAGGGGGCACCCAGCGCGCTCTCCCCACCCAGGCCCCGGGAATCCAAGGCGTTTTAAATCGCTCCCAGCTCGCTCGGCGCCTGCACTCGCTCAGCCCGGCCGTCTTGACGCAGCAGACGCAGGTGCCAGGGCCCGCGCGCTGATTGGCTGCGGCCCGGGGGCGAGAATCTAGTAAAATCTTCACGGCCCAAATTGCGAAAATACTTTACCCTTGCTTCTCTCTCTCTCTCTCTCTCTCTCTCTCTCTCTCTCTCTGCCTCTCTTCCTCTCCCTTTCTCTCCGTCCCTCCCTCCCTCTCCCTCCCTATGCTCCTCCCCCCCCTCTCTCCTAAATCCCTCTCTCCCTCTCCCTCGCTTTTATTGCATTTGAAAACAAGAAAGAACAGAGAGGAAGTGTCCTTTCGCTGCTTTCCAGTTTGGAGCTACCCGGCTCCGCGTCCAGGGGGAGGGGAGAAGAGGGAGGCGGAGGGAGAGAAGGAGAGGAGCCGGCCCCACCTCCGCAGCCTCCTCTCCCTCCCTGGCTCTCTGTCTCCGGTGCTTTGGCAGGTTTAACGAGAGAATAAAAAGCTCTCCCTATAAAGTGTGCATCTCATGGGGTTGCGGGGGGGGCGGTAGGGGGAAGGGGAGTCGGGAGGCCGCTCTATGCCTGAAAGGGGAACCTGGGAATGTGCCCGAACCAGAAGAGGCTGGGAAATGGGGATTAGAGGGTATTCCTGGGAGCCCCTGGCTTTAGGTCCTGGGTGCAAGCAACCCGGTTCACTCCAGGTGCCCCTCCTCTTCCGGATTCGCGTACTGGGCTGCCCGGGGAAATGCCTGGGAAGCCCCCTCCCCCCCAGCCCCCCTCCCGCCCCCGTCGCCCCGCAGGCTCCCGGAGTCGGGTGGGGCAGGAGAGGGAGGGGACAGGAGCTCGGAAGAAGACGGGAGATCTGGAGCCTGGGACGTGCCACGTTCAGATCTGAAGGGGAAATGGAGTTTCTAGCCTTAGGCTGCGAAAGGGGGTCCGGATTTCCGTTTAAGGGTGAGGAAAGAGATACGAAGAGAGGACACACATGACTTGTATATTCAGAGAGACGCAGAGACCGAGGGACGACAGCCCCAAGAGGGAAAGAGAGAATTTGATTGCAGGAGTGGGAAAGAATCTTATAAAATCCTGAAGTAGCAGCCAGAAAAGAGGATCTCTTCCCGCCCCCCCGCCCACCTTTATGGAATTTCTGGGAAGCCAGACCTAACTGGCTAAGCACACTAGTTGCCGGGGTGCTGGGCCCCAAGAAAGAAGGAGGCCACCCTGTGCGAAGATGTCTAAGCTCTCTACCCTGCACGTCTCCTCTTAATTCCCAAAAGGCCCAGGTAACTCACCGTGGCCCTGGCACATTCCAACCCAAACTGAGTGTCCAGAAAGCCCAGGACCCTTATCTGCTTTTTCCAGGGTTTACATTTCCTTAGAAGGAAAGCTGGATGGGAGAGAGTCCCAAGCAGTGCAAGAATTGTTGGAGGCTCCTCCATTGAGACCTGTTGTATACAGTGCAATCCAGAAGACTCAACCCAATTTGTTTCACAATTCTTCAGGGGTTTTTCTGTTTCCTTCCCTACCCCTCCCAAATCAAATCCTTCTGGATCCACTTTTTCTAGAACCCCCAGTTTTTCTGGAGAAGGCAAGAACTTTGCCATTCCACACCAGAGTCATGGTGATTATATAGAATAGGCCGCCTTGACTCTAGGAGGGCTCAGCCATGCCCAACCTTACCAACCTGAACCTGAACTTGAGCCATCTCTCAGGAGAGCGCCCATGCAAACTGGAATTTCCCCCCAAGCCTTGGGGCTGTAGTGAAGATTATAGCTCACCCTCAACGGACATTGCTAATAATAGAAGACACCAAGCAAAAAATCCTCACTCGGTTTCATTTTATTTGAAAACAACATAGAGAAAAGGGAGGAGATATCTCTTTGGATGCTTTCCAGTTTCTTCTCATAGCTTCTTGCTTGTGTGATAGTGAAAGGCAGAACTATCTGGATTTGTAACTAAAGACTACGATTTTTTCAGTGTTTTTTTTTTTTTTTTTTAAGTATGTTATACGCCCAACGTGGGGCTTGAACTCACACTGACTGAGCCACCCAGGTACTTCTTTTCACTGTTTTTGTTTTTTACCATAGGTGACAGTACAGGCATAAGATCCCTAAATTTACATGGATGGACCTTGAGGGTGTTATGCTGAGCGAAATAAGTCAGGCAGAGAAGGACAAATATCATATGTGTGCACGTATAGGAGGACTAGGAGGAACTTAACAGAGGACCAACCGGGAGAAGAAGGGGGGAAATGGTGGGGGAAAGGGAGAGAGGCAAACCATGAGAGACTCTTGAATGCTGACAAAAACTGAGGACTGATGGATGTGGGGGGGAGGAGGGATGGGCATGGAGGAGGGCACTTGTGGGGATGAGCACTGGGTGTTATGTGGAAACTAATTTGACAATAAACTATTTGTAAAAATAAAAATAAAAAATAAAAAATAAAAAGGATCATAGTCTAAAAAAAAAAAATCCCTAAATTTAGGGGTACCTGGGTGGCTCAGTCAGTTAAACGTCCGACTTCAGCTCAGGTCATGATCTCACAGTTCGTGGGTTTGAGCCCTGCATCGGGCTCTGTGCTGACAGCTAGCTCGAAGCCTGGAGCCTGTCTTCAGATTCTGTGTCTCCCTCTCTCTCTGACCCTCCCCTGTTCTCTCTCTCTCTCTCTCAGAAATAAATTTTAAAAAACACTAAAAAAAAATCCCTAAATTTAGAAATAGATAATTCTAATCATATCTTATAACCCAGCAATTCCATACCTGGACATATCCTCAACAGAAATGAATGTTTATGTCCATCAAAAGGCATGTACCGGAATGTCCAAAGCAGCTGAATCCACTGTAGTTTGAAGACAGAAGCACCCCAAGTGTCCATCAGTAGTAGAATGGGTAAATAAATCATGCTGTAATTAAAGAATGGAGTACTACACATCAATTAAAAAAAACTACTGCTACAACAACATGGATGAACCACACAGATATGTGAATGAAAGTAGTCAGACGCAAGAGAGTGACTTTTGTATGATTCTATGTCTGTGCAGTTCAAGAACAGGCAAAATTAATCTACAGTGATAGAGGTCAGAAGAGCTTACTCTGGGTTGGAGTTTCCCGACTGAGAGGTGACATAAGGAAGCCTTCTGGGGTGCTGGAAATGTTCTTGATCTCAAGCTGCTTGCTAGTTACGTGGGCGTGTTCACTTTGTGAAGATTCAAGCTGTACACTTGATATTCTGCGCCTTCCTGTGCATCAGTATTATCTCTGTTTTGGGAAGGGAAAAAAAATAAAAGAATTTAGGGATTCCTAGCAACACCGCCTGCCATTGTGATTTGGGGGTATGTTCTGGTTCGGGTCCATGGAAATGCACTTAGCTCTGCATTACTCTGGAATGCAGAGGTGATTAACCCACACCTTGCTGGGGCGAAGCTCTCCAGCTGTGCCAGAGATGCCCGTGTACGCAGATACATATGTTTCAATACAAATACTCTAGGATTTTTGTTTCTGTTTTTGTTGTGCTCTGCAATTTATTTAGTATCTACTAGATCCCAGGAAATCGTTCTGGATGTCATATTTATTAGCACATGACGTGTGCTCCCATTTCTTGTACATGTATACGTAAGTGCATCTGTCTGTGACCTGTGATAGACGTTAACTGAAGTCAGATAAGGTATGACTAATTCCCTCATCTGTAAAAATTATCTGTCTCCTCACGGGGACAGTAATTCCTACTTCACAGAAATGCTGTGAAGATTCAATGGAATGTTGCACTTGAAACCATTTTATAAACTGAATAAATACGAGTTCTATTGGTGTTTCTGGGTATCTGTGTCTAATGAACTACAGCCACCTTTTTCTTATTTGAAGAGAAAAGGACAGTTGCCGTAAATACCACCGGTCACTCCTCCTTACCTCTCTCAGCCCTGTGTACGCCTGAGATTTCCACAAAGAGAAACTGAGGCTCAGAGCCTCCAAATCGTCCCTCCAGCCCGAAGTGAGTTGGGTTGAGGTCTCAGGGCAGCCCAGGCCTCCTGACCTCCCACCCAGCCTGCCCAGGCCGAGCCAATCCTTCACCCCCTCACCCTCCCACCCCCGCCCCAGACTCCTTTGTGTCTGCCTCGATGCAGACCATCCAGGACCCCCAGCCGTCCCCCACCTCCACCCCCCAGCTCCCTTTACGGACCCAGCCAAACCCGCTGAAAGCCTCAGCTGCTCCTTTACATACCGCCCAGACACCTCCAGGAAGGTCAAGGCCAAGTTGAAAGTTAAGAGTCTGTTTACCTCCGGGAGCCCATTCAGCGCAGCCCCACGGACCGCCTATGACCTTTACAGCCGGGCCTTTGAGCGCGGCCGCCGCGCCCCCAGGGGTTCTGGCCGCGGGGACTTGGAACCTCGTCAGCTCCCGCTCCCGCCCCCGCCCCGGGCCGGGACCGCCAGCGAGGGGGAGGGGGCGAGAGGCGCCTCCTCGGC